TCAACAATCTTAACTGTGTTGTCCCTTCGAGAGAATACTTCATTTCGGAGGAGCATCGTATGTTACTCCACAGATAAAAATCAACAATTTGAACATTATTAGGAAGCAACTCAACGCCACCAATGGGTGTTCGTTGCTGTAGATTAAGGAAAAGCATATGCTGAGTCCTTTCGTGATCGTTCGTTTGGGTTCAGGCGTAACTTGCGGCCATCCGACTAACAGAGTAAAGAAACCAGGCGGCACAACTTTGATTCGTCTCTTCTTAAGGATTTCTATCCGCCGTTTAAAATCCTTTGATGCAAACGGACTGGATTTGCAAATCCTCTTGCTATTTAGTTATGGACTCAGTGTTAATAACTTGATCAAATGAAACAGCTTTTTATCACTACATTGGAGCGGGTACACAATCATGCCGCAATGCACCAGTCCACTTTCTTTTCTTGTTTACTGACGCAGCTGAAATTGCTTCCTTCTCTTCCGGTAGGAAAAGAACAATGAGGTATACACTTCTGTCGTCATAAAGCACATGCGTCATCAAAGCTTTCGCCAGGCTTGTCGCGATCAGAAGGGCACATTCATCAATAATTTTAAATATTTTTTACTCAACAGAACATGGTTGAACCGTCGAGATCAAAGAATTGCGTCCCAAACGGTTGCACTGTCCTGCAAGAATTGCCAGAGGACGCATTGTCGAACAGTTATTACTCTTTGAATCCGTTCATTAGATCCTGTTTACGTTTGTCAGGCAGAAACCTCCCGTTTCGTGTCACATTATCATCAGTTACAATTTAGTTAGCTGTTTATGAAGAAGGTTGTCCCTGCGGCTGACTTTTCCCGTCTGTGTGTTGAATGAAGGTTCACCATCCATCCAAATACCCAAACGGCAACCCTGGAAGCTAGGTTACTGGCTTTGAAGATGTTTTTCCGTCCGGATTCACCCGTACGCCAGACATGTCACAACAAAACCAATGGTATCCTCTGACCCACTGAACGATCCAACTTGTTTCACCATAGTTTGACAGTCTTATATTTTTTAGCAGCTCCTACCGTTGTCCCTAATTTTTGAGGCCGCTATTCGGTTTATGTTCCTTCAGTAAACTTCCGGTTTAGCTTTCTACTTTTACGTCAACTTCTATCTAAGCTTTTGTCTGATGTAGGCAGTATTGGGTGTTTGCGCAAAATATGCAGGCAATCCATGAAAATGTTTGACCCATTTGGGGCTAATCAAATGGCAACCTTTTCCCAGAAGCAAGAAAATCGACCTCCTAGTTTAACATAAACGTAATCGAATGTTTACCTTGTGATGAAACTCTTGAAACCACCGGCTTGATGAAGTCCCTTACGGTCAACGGCATCCAGTTTTTGTGTCCAGCGGTTCCATCATGCTTACGAGCTCATTTTCACTTTCAATGAGAAATACGCTTACTCAGTGAACGTCAAGCCGGGCGAAGACTGGTTGTTTGTGGTGAAACATCTGCAGATTTCAAGAAATTTACCTCTATCACATGCAATAAACAAAATAAAATTTATTGACTATCTTTGTGGCGAAATCTCAAGGCCGGCTGTATGCAATACCCATTACCTAGACAGCTGGGCTAATGCGTTACTCACTATTTAGTTCCGGAGATTTTAACGTGCACTTTAGCTCAAATGTATCGCTGCAATTAACTAAGCATTATTTTATTGATCATCGCGCATATGTAAATTATTTAAGTGGTAGTACCCAACCTGAAGGGGAAAAAATCAAGTATAAGAAGTTATTAAACTGTTGTAATGGTCTCGATTTGAATATTTTACTGCGCAGTAGTGCATACATGCTAGAAGTGTGTGCAATTTAGGTTGATATGGTGTTATTTGAAATTCTAGCTCGTCAGTTTTCATCTTTTCCGTTACGCGAACCGTTTAACCAACTAATTACTTGCTGGTGTGTTACTGAACCTTCCGTGTATTCCGTAGCACATTGGGGTGCTACGGGGGTATCAAATAAATCAGCAAACTGAAAGGATTCCAAAGTTAATTTTTATTCTTATCATCGTGAAATTGAATTCCTCCGATCCACTACACTGAATCCAATTTCAAAATAAAAATTGTAAAATTGGAAAGATACCATCTCACAGGCTCTGTAAAATCTCCACTCCATAAATCATCTGCCTGATGGCCAGAAAATACAGTCTACCTGGTGCGGAATTTCGGGTTTAGAAATAGGCTTATTTTATTCTGTCTAAGGTTTTGTTAGCCCGTCGTTCCAGAAAACAACAGTATTCTGAAGCCTCAAACGATGTCACAGACTTTTTATGTATGCATGCTTTTGCGAAAGCACAGCATAGTCATTCACAACAGCTCACAGCATACGGGCAGATTTGGGAGACGAATTGTAAAAGAGCCAAATTCACAAGACGATTTGAGGACATAGCTTAGGCGTGTAGCTGAATTTGAAACCAAATATGCTCATTTGCAAATCAAATTGGTTTACACGGGAGACTAAAATGAATCTCTCTTTCACAATGTTCTTCAACTGAATGTACTGCACAAAGGCCGCCTCGTGTTTCATTTGGTACGATATTCGAGATAGCGCAGTATATTTCCATTAAAAATCTATTCACAATGTTGCTGAAAACTCTTCGACAGCTCACAATCGGTTTCGCTCTTCCTGGGGCTCATTAGGAGGACGCAGTACCTGAGTTTGTCGGGGTACAAGCAAATAATGAAGGTGACGGAACCTTGTGAACTGCACCTACCTGATGAGCCCCAAGCAGGGCAAAACCGTTTTTGAGATATCAAAGAGTTTTTTCCTTTATGAAATGGAAATCGCTTCATTCTAACACCCTACACCTTGGAAGCGCGTTTCCAAAGAGCAATTCTCACCATAATATCATGTTGAGAGGATAGCAGCAGGGCTTCTATGTGTGTAGAAAATGGTAGATGAAATTTAAGACAGTTTTACACCTCAGAGTAAAGCGGGAGGAACTACGGCGTAACTATTTGGAACTCTTGGAACAATACTAATCTCAAAAATTGATAATGGAAACTGAACAATTCTTGGCAAACAGCAACTTGTTGCTGAAAAGCTACTATCTACATTCCCAAACAACTCAGTCTGTGCAACAAACGTGACTAAATAGCACCAGCATATTTTTACACGCATGAAAAGGCAGTAAGATTAAATTAATTTTAGATGGTTCTCTGGTTTGTGGGCCTTTGCCTACGTTTGAATGGTCCCTGTGTTATTCTAAGCAATTGTGCTGGTGAGTTTGTGCTGAGGAACGAAAGCAGCAGTGGACTTGATTTTCACGCTTATCAGAGCTCATTAGCAGTACATTTATTTGACGATACCGGAGCTCGAACTCCGGATGTATGACGTGCGTGATGCTCCTGAATTACCGCGTGTGAACAGGAGAACTTGTTCACGCTTGTGCAAACGCGAGCCCTGAATCTGTCCTGGGTTTGCTGGTCGACTGATTAGCCTGCCAGAAATTTCCGACCAGGGCACCGTGGTTGCCTGAAATCTGTTGAAAAGTTATCGGATTAGCCTTAGGAGGTTGCCAAGTTCATGGAATTTACATTACAATCACACGCGTTTGAAAATTTGTCTTCCTGTACTGGCTCTATTATGATCGTGAGTCTATACCACTATTGAGTAACTGGACTGACTCTGTCAGCACTGGAAGAACGTTGTTTACCCAAGCATGACACAAATTTGGATTGGACACACTAAAATCTATACAGTTGGCACCCCCACAACTGGCCATCTGACAAACGATTGCGCCTGCGATAAAGGTAAACATAAAGGAAAGGTATCGTATATTTGGCACTCAAAATTCAAAATTGACCAATATGCTCAGTTTTGATATTCAAAATGCAATACTATCGTTGGCAATCTAAAAGTTCGAGCATTCCTAATTTATAAAAATGTATAAAGCTAAATAAATAAATAAATTTACAAAAATGTTCACTGCACATACATCAGGTAGGATCCTTTTTCCGCCATCGGATTCTTTCATAATTAAACGTTATCGAGCCGATCCCACAAACTTTGTTTGCTCAAAATCCCCAGTGTTATATCAGAAGCATACAGAGGATAAAAGTAAATATTACTCTTGCAATGATGTTGTAACTTAGGTGACTTTCCACTGTGTTCCACGTTCGGCCACATATGTAAACTGTCTTGTCCTAAATTATAATGAATCTCCGATTAACTTATGGCCAGATTAGTAATAATGAAGACATGTTGTCATCACCGGGCTGTTAGCATGATTTCGTAGGTATCGTTCACGTATCTTGTTTACCTTACATTACAACCGTTATGTAGTGAGCATTGGATCCCTGGTTGGTGTGTCTGAAAAACAGTAAAAATTCTCGGTGAAAGCCATGGTCCGAAATAGCACACACCAAACCAAACGATTCTGATTGACGCTCGCAGTTCCATTTTCCAGGGTTTCAATTACATCGGTATGCTGAAAATGAGTAAAATCCCGGATTGCATTGTCGAAAACAAAGCGAAGAGTTTATTGTGATGTTTTTGCATACATTTCTGTTGTTCTTTCATCAAGGTAACAGGAGGATACTGGAGCTTTGGGGCCACAATGTGCAACGTGTTTGTCATGTTGGATGTGCTATTTTGTACAGCTTCTATCTTAAACTTGGTCGCCATTGGTCTCGACAGGTAAGCTCTATAGCATTGTTGACAAACCATAATTACTGGACAATCTTTTTTTTCAATTTTTGTGCTTTGCTTATAGATCACATAGAAAAACCCTCGATTTAAAGTGGAATGAGCAGTATTCACAGTACTTTTACCCCTCAGGTTTCTCAAAAATCATTCAAACGTGTTCTAGTCAGCCCCCGATTGTGCAAACTTTCTACACAAGATCAACTGCAACGGACAGGAGCGCTTGAATCATCTTCTGTTATCTGACAGCTAGGCACCATTTTATTACCGCTATGTGATCTCGGCAGCACATATTTGATGCGACTGAGAGTAAACTTTTCAAATGCCAGATCAAGGAGAGACCAAATTCGACCCCAAGACAAATTTGTAATACTGCACAAACGCGCCTATTCCAGCTGGCAATCGAAGGCGAATTCGACTTGTCAGATTTATTTGATCAGTCTGTCGATTAATTATTAGCCACCCTACAGTGGAGCAATGATTGACAGAACAGACCATCGCCGTCAGTATGCATCACTGAACATCTGACACTGCCACTAGAGCGGCGCGACGCAGATGGCTCAAAAACTAGATATAAAATAGTGACCCGTTACCGGTGGTCATCACCATCTGCAGTAAAGAAGCGTCAAAGGAGCCCAAATGACTCAGTTATTTGATCAGCAGCAAGAATCCTACAGCATCGCTCGTAAAGTGCGTCAGCAGTGCATATCATATATTGTCTGGGGATTCGAACGACGGACGGCTAACATGCGAGGTGACCTGTTTACATTATTCTGCCAATGCACGGTTGAATAATTTAACTTGTTCACGCTTGAGACATTTAAGAAATCCCTCACTCCAAATATGGGGATTCTGATAGACAGGTTTTATGAACTGCAGGTGAGCCACGCGCACGAAGGAACCTTGCTTTGTTTTCAGTGTGTATGACAAGTTTTCGGCAGCGGACTCAGCAAAATTTCAACCGCTGTTTGGTTCCAAAATCTGTTATAAATATCAGAGTCCAACAGGCATTATTAAATTACACAACGTTTCAGTAAAATTTCGAATTAAAAAGTTGTCACATCTTATTGTACGTAAATTAGCATTTAAGTTACATTAAACCAGCACAGCGTAGCCTAAAAATGCAAACAAAAGTAGATGGAAGGCTTTAAAGGAACAGTAGCTTTCGCTGGATAGATTTACTATTGTAACAAAAATTTATTTTTGGCGTAATATTGACAGCATCTGAGGAACTATGATTGTAAGAACTGTAATGGCTGGTTGAATTGTGGTGTAAGGTCGGATACTACTGACGAGACATGCGAATAGTCCGTCCGCCCCGCATAAAGATGGAAGGTGAATTTTATTCCGGAACTTGTGTAATTGCTTTGCAGTGTTCGTTTACAAAAGCGTGATAGTCAGTCAATATACACGGAAGTTCAACACAGAATGTGTGAGAATGTTCAGTTTTTAAAAACTAGACGTATGAGATGTTTACTTTTTTGTCCAGTAGTTTGTAATTGTTGTTTGCCGGTTCAACACAAATGTGTGAGAATGTTCAGTTTTTAAAAACTAGACGTATGAGGTGTTTACTTTTTTGTCCAGTAGTTTGTAATTGTTGTTTGCCGATAAAGGACCTTGCAGCGAAGGGTCTCTCTCTCATGTGGTAGCCTGGTGCTTCCTGAACCTTTTTCTATAGGTTCCTGTTGAAGAGGCTTTGAACGAGCCCCTGTATTCCGAAAAATATCGTTTATTCTTGAGTACTTTTACAGTGACTAATATCTCGTGAGGTAAACGGTAAATTTTCAGGTTCCGTCATAGACATACACACATTCATCACTGTGAAAAGAGTCGCTTTGAGTTCTTTTGGCTTTATGCAAATGGTTACTGGTAAAAACGTAAAAAACAGGCACGCGGGGGTGGGTATGTAGCATAGCGCCTTTATTGACTTAAATTTAAATTTCCCGATAGAAATCTGTGGGCGTTCTCCCACAGGTTCCGTGATTTGGATATATCCGGTGTAAACTTTTTGCGTGCTTGGCATGCACTGAGTTTCTTTCTGGAAGCCCACTGATTGATGGGATGAAGTTTTAACTGAAGGCGTCACGTCAATGAACCAAGTCAACAGGCTCAAAGGCGCACTGTATATCAGCCTGTAGTTGATTTACTATAGATGAATTTTTCCACTCGGAGAAGGGCGATTTAGTACGGTCGAAATGATGCTCAAATGACCAACTACCAAGTTGGTTTTCAGCTTTACAAAACAATTTGAAAGTCTCTGGTGTTTTGGAAGTGACGCACTGCTGATGATCAACAACGCGGATGAAACGATTGGACAGTGATTTTCGCCTTTCTGAAAGAGAATAGCTTCAATTACAGGACCACATTTCATTTGCAAATTTCAAAGTGTAGACGACTAATTTTAAGTTTCCGAACGTCTGAATATGCTTTGTCACGACGTCTTACACACCGCTATTAGGGCGGAACTTATAGAAAGAGCTCGACTGCTGTCAATTCTGTTCTTGATATCATAATACGTTATGAATAGATCCTTCGGGTTTCAGTACAGAGAATTACTTCATTCGCGAACTGTCATACTGTGATATCCTCTGAACTGTTTAAGTTTTCCTTAGTGATGGTATTCGAGATGTACATCAAATAACTGCATGGGAGCACTGCGCCTTGAACGACTGACTACGTTAATATAAAAGGGTCTAAAGATGGGCAGCCCCATACATTTACTGGTGTCTAAAAGGTGCTTTTCACTGTTCCCTTACAAAATAAAAAAATATTATGTCCCACCTCCGCGAGCTGTACACTGAAATTTGTCAGGCATGTATGCACAGTGTTTCTTCTCTACCCGCGGTTTGAGTATTGTTTTTTTAAACACGCCTGATACTCTTCAATTAACAAACGGACAGCCTTACAAACCACGCATCAACAACATGCACACCGGCTACTTCGGACTGTCCGAGGCCCAGTTGCAGATTAGTAAGTAATCTGGACCAATTTTGACTTCTAAGAGCTTGATAAGATAGGATCTGATCCAACTCATTTATTTGCGCGAGACTTCATGACAATCGCACATGGAATCGATTTCGAATGCGATGTGTGAATTCTCGTGTTGGGCTATCATCCTTTTTCAAATCGGTCAACCACATCAATATGAGCCCAACTACCCTCCCAAACTATAGACAATACCAGACGGGGGTTGCACCGGGCCACATGTACATCAAATTGAAAGCACCGTATCCGCTGTGAAGCCGGTGTAACAAAGCGGATAATAAGGAGAGAAGACATCCCTAAACCAGTCCTAACAAGCCCAAACGCTTGCTCACGTCTGTTAAATGTGTGTACTGCACAAAGAGTGTATGCAAGAGGACGTCTGTTGGCCCGGAACTCAATGAAGATAGTCATTGCTATCCATTTTGAGGCCTGCTCTATCCGATGGTGTTCAGAAAAATCCAATTTGGCATCGTTAATTTGGTAAATTGTAGAGCGAAACCTGCACCAAAACCGCCTAACCACTCTCACTTAAGCGCGGCTTTTGCCAAAAAGTCTTGCCAGCGTGTGATTCGTCAGAGGAACGGGCTGCTTGCCGGCCCCGGATCGAAGCAAACTCTGGCCGGCTGAAGGTGCCGACTTAACAGCAAATGATGATTCAGAATCTGCTGAATACCGGGAGGCGTCGAAACTCCAGAATGTTTCGCTGCATACACTTTATATACGACGCGCTTTTATGATCAGGGTTTAGAGGTATAATACACTTTTGACACCCTTGGTTAGTGGTTCTTCTGTTGAAAGCGCTAGCTTGGGAGATTCAAAGAAAAACTGAGTTGAGGAATTAACGCTGCTACCTTAACCCAAATAACCGACCTCTGATCCTGTCCGAAGAAAGTGTGCTGAGACAATCGCAACTCAGTTACCAGTTAACAGCAACATTCTCCTTGACCTGGCGGTTTGATAGCTCTTACGATTTCTCATTCGAGACTCGATGCAACCCCAGTTTGTAAGGTGTAACCATGCAACTATTACCAAAGAAAATCAGCTGGGAAGAGACACAACAGCCAGTCACCGTAGTAAAATAACCACAAAACGAATCTTTAAGCGGAGTGTGAAGGCAACTATCTGGCCAGCACGTCCATAGTTGATGAATCAGAAGCACTTCCTTCTCCTAAGACAGAAGGGCAGGGAAAAGGCGGACATGAAACTGTCACGCTCTACTCGTCTACCTGTAAACCGTGACAAATTAGCCGTCACAGTCGAATTCCAAGGCATCTCATGTGCGCTTTTGGACCACTCCAGCCTTCTGCAGCCAGGCAGGTCAGACCACCGAGTTATTAGCTCCGGACAGAGCCTACCAATGCAACTCTACCTTGCACTGGGTCCGTCTTTTGACCCAAACACTGTAGTTAGTGTTCCTCAAACAAAACCGGAAAGTAACATTCAACTTTGCGGCTCTTCACATTCACAGACATTTCCACCACTCCCACCCGTTATACGACCAAAACCAATCATTATGTCGGCCGCTTTCATAGTCATTCTTCCGTGTTCAACCTAGCAACCCACAAAACAAAACAGAATAACCCCTCACTAGATTCAAAAGATACGCTCCATGTCGCTGCTCCCAAATTTCTTAATCACGGTCAAACTGTGCAACAGGCATCACGCACTGACCCCTTTCAGTCTCTTTCTGTCTATGATTGTTGTCTCGAGAGCAGGCATAAAAGACGTCGCTCCGGTCATGCGTCAAGGTTTTATGAACGTGAGTCTCATCGTGATCTACTGCACGTACATTGTTAGGCAGGCCGGACGGATGGTAGCTTCATGGGAGATGATACAATTTTCCGAGCTGTTTGATCGAGGGGCATACGCGGTTTTAGTACGCAACCAGGCAGTCCATTTGGCAAATTCAATGGATTGCATACGTCAGACAACAGCTCGCTGATCTTACCTGCAAGTTACCGGAAAGGTACAGTCATACTGATGCCTAGAATAGATTGGCGCATGAATTGAAGTGAGCAGAAAATACACACGCTGTCAAAATCGTCTACCCAAGTCATACGAACCGACTGTATAAGAACTCAATACTATCGAGATCCGCAGATCTTATCAGTGCCAGAAAAGTGATTCCGGAAACTGCCAACGAATATCACATGCACAGATCACTCAGTCGAGTAATCGAGACCCTGGCAATGAAAGCTGGTAGATTCTGATGTCTCTGTGGATAATAGCTGCATTCCATTTTGGGTGATTCAAGCAACTGGCCGAAATAAGACAAAATGTGTGAAGAGACGTAATCGTGATTCATTCGTAGATTCATTCTCTTCAGTACTGCGTTAAATACATTAAAAACGATTCAGCCAGCCTCTTTTGCAAAATCACTGGGCATACATATTAAACTAAATAGAAAATCGGCACAAACCCCGCACTATTAACGGAAATTTAAGGAAACGTATCGTTCTTCCAGTGCGATCCCGTAGGACTCGTGAAAATTTAGAGCAGCCTGAGTGATCTAGTAAGAAAAACTTGAAAAAAAGTGCAAGTTAGCTTGAGTAAAACACATCGGCGGTGATTTTACTCTTCGAAAAGTGCGTAAAACTATCATGCCAAATCCACCGCGGTATCGTCCTGGTAAACGACACCTCCATGTTAATCATTAGTGTTCTTTTACTCAGGTTTACCACTTATCGTGGGAGGCAGAGTCGTGAAAGCCAAACCGGATTTCCCATAACCAAAAATTCAACGGCCGTGTAATGATCTTGTCCGCCACTTTTTCAGATTACCGACTTTTGCATTTTCCCCAATCTCATATCTGTTTCCAAGCCTGTAGACATTCAGAAATCTTGGCAATGATGGCAATCATATGAGTTCATTCAAACATTTTATTCCATACAAGAGGCCCTAGGTAAACTGCCGTGGGCTCCTACGTGTATACATCAGGCTTTTGAGTTTGCCGTGCCCAAATTAAAACAAGACTATTCTTTCAATGCTCCTCTTTGAATTTGCTATGAATATATTGGCTGAAAGTTCCCAGTCTGTCTCTGAAAACTCAGTGATCAAAGTGTTTCTGACGGGGTTGAGCATAGATACTTACTGCACAGATGGTATTACTCTTCTCAGTTCATATCCTACAAAGATTCCATTCATTGTAAAGAGCGTAAATAAATATGCCGCACGATTTAGTGTGCTTTTCATAGCTACAGAATGTGACATATTGGTTAAAGACTGGGTGGGATCAGCCTTGCAGATGAGCCAATCGATATGGCAGATAAATTTAGTTACATAGTCCGTCGTTAGGGTTTTGACGAACTGGCTGGAGACGATATCACTTTTGAAATGGAGAATCCATACAAGTCCCTCATAGCCTCCAACATCCATGTCGTTGGCGTGGCAAGTGCATAGTTTGGAGAGCGACGGTGGGATCCATACTGCTCCATGGATCGGGAACTCGGCGTCTACACTTACGGGACATAGTATGGCAGCTGTCAATGTTTTACAGCCATTATATTCCAAGCATTGAGGGAACACCCGATGAACAATTTTAAATATGTCAGATGATTCCAGGAACGGTTGCGCTGGTTAGAACATGTACGTCACATGCCAGAGGACGATATAACTCGTACAGCTCTCTCCACTCAGATTCGCGCGGCCGAATATAAAGCTTATATGTCAAGTCAAATGTCACGACCATGATACGAAACCAAGCATTTGATTGGCAGCTAATCATTGAATAGCTGTGAGAATACTTCATTACCAAGCTTAGATAATCACAGTTCTTATGTTGAGATCTCAAAGGAAAGATTATATGGAAAAGTTGATACTTCTATTGAGTTTAATTTTCTTTCACGTTTTGTGCTGCCCTCTTGGTTGGTGTAGTCTGAAACCGACGGAAGGCCTGCTCAAAATACCGGCACAGATTTATCCCCGTCTTATTTGTTTTCCCACAGGTATTTGGCGGTGACCAAACCTATAAGTTACGCAAAGCGTGACAACGTCAGAAGAATCCAACTATCGATTTCAGCGGTATGGATCTCGTCCATTCTTATTGCTCTCCCGGTTGTGTGTGGTTTAAACGATTACGAAGGCCAAGATCCCACCACGTGCCAGTCAAACAATGCTGTTTACATGATTACTTCCTCCATAGGCTCGTTTTACATCCCTGCAATAGTTTTGCTTGTGGTTTATCAACGAATTTTTTCTCTCATCCGGCAACGACACAAACTGTCCGGTAAGTCGCAGTGCAGTAAATCGGAAGCTTCCGGTAGTTTTGGCGACCTCTATCATCGTCGAGGCTTGATCAATAAGAATAGAGAAACAACAGAGATCGAGTTGCAAACTGACAGATTGACGACATTCAATAGTAGTTTCACACCCGTCAGTCGTCCAGAAACAATGTGCAGCTCACCGGTTTTTCAAGCACTCGAGACGAAGTACACTGACCCTACCATGGATAACAAATTAAAGAGTTCTGTTCCCGACAGTGAAACGAATGAACCCTCGGAATATCGTTTTTGGGGACCGAGATTGGACATAAGTTCACCCAGAATATGCCCTTATGAAGAAGCTTGGGAGAATTTCCCACTTCCTCCTAGCTCTTCTTCACTGGCAAGACGGTTCACACTTCCTTTGACTGACCAACCGGATAAAAGAACAAATCATCTACAACACTTTCCTGAAAAACATATCTCCGAAAACAAGAAAATCCACAAAACCTCACAAGCTGAAGAGCCGAAACAGCGTACAAGGTCGTTGTGTGAATACAGCAACAAAGGGAACGACACAGAGTTTTTTCTCTCCCACCCACCAATGTCAACTACACAGACCTCTCAGCTAACGCCTTGTGAAAATTCACGATATAACAATGTCATCCCAAAGGAAACTCTGATCAATATAGGCCAGGGCAAGTCCATCAACTGCCCACAGGAAACGTTTGATCTGGTGTGTTGTGAAGATTCATCCCGGAAAATAAATTTGTTCTGCTGTTATTGCGGTATACGCACGGACCCATCCAGCGGAACCAGTACACTTTCGGCAGCAGATATCTGCGGCTATATTATTTCATCCTCTACGGACGATATATCGGAGGCTCAGCCAACGTCAGCGGGCATTTGCCGTTGCAACGAAAACACGTGTTGTTGTTCCATAACACTTGAAGATAACCAAGCCGTCGGTGATAATACAAACAATATTGATATTTTATCAACCACATTTCGTAACAATGACCCAAGGGATTCTCTGACTCGTGGCTTTGACCCATCAAACTTAGGCGTAAAAAGCTCTGTGCAAATGCATGACCTCAAAAAACAAGAATGCATCATAAAAACCAGTAGGCTGACGAAATTTCATCAAGCAGCTGGAACATGGTTTTCAAAGAAACTCTTCGGGTTAAACCACATGTTCCGGCAAAGGTCAGAGAGGTTGGCCATCAAAAGTACCACAGTGAATGGATCCGTGTCGTCTTACCTCAAGAGTACAGCCGTGAGACGGGCAACCTTTCCACAAACTCGACTAACGTGGGATCAACCGGTTTTCGAAAGCCCGTTAGAACCTGCGGTTGAAAAACTAACCTCGCCAGTTCGAAATGCACATCGAAGAGTTAATTTCCACAATTCCAAACAGCGTTCAGTTTCGCAAAGGGAGAAGAAAGCTACCAAAACTTTGGCTATCGTTCTTGGTAAGTTAAACTAGTGTTGTCCGAATACTTGTTTTTTTGTTTCTAAATAACGTAACCGTACAAACCTGAAAGTCTCCCGGACTTGGCTAAGTCATATGTTCTAAAAGGTAGAAAACCGTCTTATTGCACGAGCGGAATTGTCCGAAAAAAGTCGAATTCAACCGATGCTATGAACATGCTTTCAATGTCCCTCTATCAGCGGTGTTGGAGAAAGCTTGTGGTATTTCCGGGTGTAGTTCGTCTGCATTTATTTATGCGTATATGAATATACATGTATATATAAGGTTTAAACAGCCACCTAAGCTTTATATATTAAGAAGGTTTTGCGTTATATCAGTGGCATCTTTATCGGTTAAACAATTTCACATTTCAAAATAAAAACTTGCATTGAATCTGAAGACAACCTGGAGAGTGAATAGAACCGAAGTTTCTAAAACAAACGTCCATGTTCTAGTCCACTGAGTCACGTGAACTCACATGACCTATATGAATAGGGCTGCAGACCTTATTCTCCTGATTGAGACTCTTCACAAGAAGATGCGAATAAACCTCGGAGGATATTAGTCCCGATGTTTATTGAAAAGATTTTTTAATGCTAAAAGGGTTTTGGGCATTACCCGCATTGACTTGATGTTTCGAAAACTTCAATGCAGGATTAAGCAGCGGCTTTCTGTAAATCGAAGAGTAGATGGTATTTTGTCGCCGAGGATTAGGTTTGAAAAATATTCTATTTTAGTTCGAGGTTCTTGAGTAGGCTTTCATTTTGCGGACTGGTTTTATTGACCGATGTTGCTGACCGATTTTTGCAAGTCGTTCTTCCTTCAAGCTCCAGCCTTAGTTATTTGCGTATTAGGCTGACGAGACCATATTGAAATCATATGATTTGCAACTTATGTTATCGAAATCGTGCTGTCTGTCTGGGGTCCAAACTGAAGGGTCGAGAACACCGCTGGCATGCCTACAAGGTGACCCACCTCACATTGGACCCACAAAAAGGGAGTGCAATGCCTTGCAGGGTACGCATCAAGGCTACCCAACCGGTACCTGGTAGTGTGCATCAATCCCAGGAGGCTTCCGCCCAAGGGCTGTTCACATTACCCTCGCTTCTCACATGCCTTTTTAGAGGGATCATTTTAGATATCATCAGCTGTTTGGCGGTGACTGTGGTTGTTACAGGCTTAATATTCGCTCGCCTATTTGAATAAATGCTGAGTAGAACCAATGGTTAAATCCGTTGCAAAAATTCATCACGTATGAGTAACCAACCTAGCAATAGGAACGTGCAGTCCTTGCACGATCGTGGTTGCAATGTGGAACGTCCACAAACGAAAGCGATCACGTGAGTTATACACCTACGTTCATGCGACAAATCCTGAACATGCCACGGGATGTAGTCGATTAATTACTGCACTCATTTTCAGATTAATTTCACTATGATGGCGTGATCAGCTGAATCCCAGCTGCATCTTCAACAAATGTGCTATACGGAAGTCGCCTCACTCTTCAGTTTGCTTGCTTGAAGGGACACGACTCAAGGTTGCTGACAGCTCACTCAAGGGTTTTCTTCAACCTGACGAATTGCGTTTCTTCTGTTTTTCAGAATTGCCACACTCAGTTCCTATATAACATTAATCACACCATTTGAAAGTCATTTCATTTTGGCCCACTTTTAATCTACTTTTATTACTTCTAAATCTTAGGAGCCTTCCTCGCTTGCTGGCTTCCCTTCTTCACGATCAATGTGACGATTGGCATATGCATATTACGTGGCACAATTTCCGATTCATTCTGCACAATTAACACGCAACTCATGCCCAGTTTCACATGGTTGGGCTATGTCAACTCACTTCTCAATCCTGTCATTTACACTATTTTCAATTTGGAATTTCGCGCTGCCTTCAAAAAACTTCTGCACATCAGATAAAAACGTTTAAAATAAAGCATATTTTGGTACAAAGATAAACTGGCAGTTTTTCAACTTCATTTTTAAAATCCTTTCGATGTTATGGGAAGCTGATTAAGTATTGCGTGGTCCCAGTCGGCCATGGGGGACCATGAGCTCTACTGTGGATCGTGAGTTGACGGTAAAAACAGAGCGTCCTGTTGGGGTGTGAAATCGCTTGGCGAAACGGAAGATGTGCTTAATGTTGGAATGCAACAGAATTCAATCAACTATGAATATAGTCAGGTTAACATGAGGTAGACAACATTTAAAGCGGAAGACTAAGTGTGCAGTGCAGTTGACACGCAAGGACTTGACGAATTCATGTGATCCAATAAAATTTGGAAAGCTGTGAACACTACTAACGATCACAATGTACAAAGTACTTAGATCGCGACCGAATATTAGAAAGAAGATACTGGAACATTGGCTGGTCAAAACCTTCACATTAAATGTTTTGGGTAATTTGTGACAGGCTTGGTCTTCTCTGCTGTTCGTTGTTTTGCGAAAACCAACTGCCTTACTTGAGCCAATTCCTTAGTTGTTCCACGCAGACATAGGCGGACATTCATATTATTGGAGGGATTTCTTTGGTTGTAGGGCGTGAAAAAATTACTTCTGCTTCCACACTAAGTATTGAGGTTCCCGGTAAGGAACAGTGAGTGACGCGTAGGTTCGACAACCCCGAATATCAAAAGGAAGAATTGGGTTCGTAATTCTATTTACACAAGGGTAAGCAAATGTGTACACCAAGCTTTAATTGTCCAGGTTTGTAGCGTCAACAAGTTCACAGGTCTGCCTCTGACCGGCACAGCGCAGTGTCAACATCCGCACACCGAACAACGGCGAGCGGAATGATGGATCGGTAGCGTGGGTTGCGGTCGTCCATTTCGACGACGGTCTCGTGATTCTCATCAGACGTGAGATCTCACGGAACTCATGAGAAAACAAGCCAACGCAGGCTCAGCAAACGGGACATGCACGCGAATGGGTAAGTAGGTCAGCAGCGCACATTCACACACAGACGCACATGTCAATACACAAGTGTCGGAAAGGACGGCCTCTGCGACAAGGTGAATGGCGGGTGCGGATAACTAAAACAAATCGAGATCAAAAGTACACAGGCAGAGTAAGCAAATGAATGGGGAAATTATCATACGGTCAAGTTAAGTTCAACACTGGGTTTGGGGTGTATTAATCAGTTTGGCGCATCATTTCAGTATCCGTTTCTTTCAAAAATTACTCATGGATACTGAAAGGCCCAACAGTTATTCATCGCTGCCCTATAGCTGCATTATTCTGACAGAAAGCATCACTCTTCCCCCACATTCACTCGCAATCCTGAGCAAAATTTTGCTGTGGAATTTCCTGCCGTCACAAAACCGTCGTAGGTATGTGAGAGAATAATTCATATCAAAAACACATCAAGCACGTTCTCATGGGACGTTAAGAGAGAAGGTCTAACAAGTGCACTGTTAGTTCTGTGACACAGTGGAGGAGACGCAACACTTGCGATGCTGTTTTTCTTATAACTTGGGGTGCCAGCAGTCGAGCTTAGACGCATCCAAATAAAAACATTCAAACGTTCCTCTAAAATATTTTTTTGCTTTGAGGTTATGCGGCATAAGTTCACTTCCACTCTGTTTTAAACGGACACTGGTTTCTCAACTAGCCAAAATTCAAAATGTCGTTTATGTGATTGCTCATAAAATCGATAAAATATCCGGACGGTTCATCACTAGGTCTCATAAATTAGGCCGAGTCCAAAAATTTCCATCCATACAATGTGATAATTAAACACTATTTTTCAGAAAACGATTTTGGTTTCCTAATGATCAACACTCGTGTGAGAGGAAAACCTATCTTCGTACATTGTTCATTTTCAAGGTTTATTTGAAAGCACACCTAGGTGTGCTTAGGTACTTAGGTGCTACCAAACTGTCTAAGCCCAAACAGGAACAACGAAGCGCTGGAACTGCATTCAAACCACCTACCAGCGAACAACTTCACAGTTAATTTCTACCCTCAGCTTTTTTATGAAACGCCCCAATGATTTCGACTGAGTTGCGAATTCTGATTTGCCTGCTTTGACAGGCAGAGATCAAAGCAACACAGATAACAGGTCACGATTCCGCGCCGCACAACATGATAGCACTTCGAATAAGACAGGCCTTGTCAGATTTCGAGGCAATAAATGGGTAGCTTTTTTGGAAACGAGTTATGGAATTTTGTCACTGTCAGAATTTGACCACATAAATTGGGAATATGCTACTACCGTAGGTTCTGTTGATATGAGTCACTTGGTAGCCAAGGCTTTCTTTAGTGTACATGTCAGGCTTTCTTTATCCATTTTAGTCTCTACCTACAACAAAATCCAGTTAGGTTAGACTGACAGGTTTTCTTTTCTACATGTAATCTATCGGTCGATGTAAAATTTGCCGGTCTGCTCTTCCCGTGACAGGGTAGAGCATCAAATCACGTTACCTGTGCGAAAAAGAATCGTTCAGCTGCTTTTTCCGTCCAAAGTATGACGGACGGAAAGCCCAGTTCCAAACAGAGCCAACTATATCATAATGAGCGGAAGTGAACTGGCGGCGTTTTTGGTCAGCTAAATAATAGTATACCTGATTTCTTCCGCACACCTTCAGTGTCTTATCAAAGGTCGTAAATTTGACGCTGTGGGAAAGATCGATGTCACTCTGCCAAATAGCACCAGTCCGAATAGAAATTTACGGTTGCCTTTCGCCCAAAATATAAACCAAGTTTATTACTGTACACTCACCAACTCCAACAGTTTAATTTGTAAAATTTATTCTGTTGATGGAATCGTCAACCTCGTCTTTTATAACCACGGTCTTGAGCGGTTTACTCAGTTCAGTAGGTAATTTTATTGAAAAGGTACACCACAATTCGGAGCTCTGGCATCTTGGTGTTTCATAGTTAACAAACTTTGTGTTGTCGTGGATAAATTTTCCATATAAGGGCCAAGTATCAGTGATTTGCCACTACAGTGCAGGAGACCGCACATTATGGTGTCAGTTTCCTAATGAATTTCCGATGACCAAAATCAGACAAGTTGGCAAATGCTGTTCTCATCTGACTCTTACCGTCATAACTTTTCTTTCTAAAACTTACGTTAGATTTGGTCAGCAGACTCAATTTTCCTTCCCTAAGGTTACGGATGGGATGGATGTACCCACTGCGTTACCCTTTACCTTGAAGTGACGAAGCGCCCAAAGAAAAACTGGATCAAGTCAAAAGTTCCATGTAGACTAGACTAGACGTACTGATGACCATCACGAATGAAGTTTCTCGTCATTGTCCACGTGTGCCAGCCGTTTTTTAGCTCGTTTTCTGCCCCCGGAGACTCAATTCTTCAAAATGCGTATTTTATTACGCTTTTGGAGACAGAATAGGATAGAAGGGGAGAAGATAAGCGCCCATAATGAACTGAATGAAAACATTTCAGACATTTTTATCAGAATCTCGCACAACCAGAAGCACGAGTCATATTTATCCATCCCAAGGCACCTCTTCTAGGTGAGGCGTAGGCAATGGAAATAGCTTGCCAACGAAATCATGGATGCTTTTGTATTCGGTATTTTGTGCGGCAATGATGTGACGTGAATGTTTGGTTGCTAGACTTTTACCGAAATGAAATCCAGCTTGAGGTTTTTCGCTTTGTGTCTTATATGTATTAACAAGGCAACTATAACAGGTATGACAGGCTACAAGATCATACTTGCGGTTAGATCATTTCACCTAACTTTTCCAAACGAGGATTCGCTGTTTCTCTAATTCCAGCTGTCTAATCCATCTAGATGTTTTCAAGTGCTTTTAAAAAATGTATCTACGATTTGTAGTCAAGCTAGGTCACGAGAATGAGGGAATCTCGTGGAATATGGCCATCTGGTCAGGCCCGAGAAGACCATAACCGGTGGTAGGCCGTTTAGATTTTCCGCCTGGGTATTAAGAAGCATTCGTTCCCTAGATTTGGGTCAAAGCTAAAAGCATCAACGTCATCTGTAATTCGCACTGGTATAAGTTCGCTTGATTCGACAGAGGGATGAGCTTAAAGTAAGAAGAGTTAATTCCGTATTCATAAAAAACACGCACAACTTGTGGAGGCTGGAGAGCAAAGTTTTGATACCTGTGTTATAGTGCGGCTTCATTTTGAGCCAAGCTTAACAGTGCCTCATCTTGGGAAATGATTTAAAGCTTACAAAAGTTGCTCTTTAAATAGATGAACTGCTCTACCAAACTAACAGTATAAATCACTGTGTTTTGAAAACTTTTTAACATTCCACTAATAGTTACGTCATCCGTGCGCTAAGACTTTGTCCCCGAGTTATGTCCTAGTGGAACACAAAATTTTACGTAAATAGCAAAATATATCCATTTCTCAATCACAGTGTTGCTCATCAGCTCACCAACTCAAAAGAAACATCTCGTTCATGATATTCTCACCTGAATACCCTTCAAAAATCCGCGTCTTGCCTCAGATGATACGCGTGATATGTCTACTTCATGCAATACCCTCCTGTTGAGAACTCTTCGAAAGCCCATGACGAGAGCTTCAGTGTAGTGTCTTGTTCACACCAACGTGACCTCTCAAATTCACAGCCACTTCAGGAGCTCATTTATGGAGGTCGTTTTTTGTGAGCTATGAGGGACTCTCGATTGATAGGCTGACAAACCTTTGCTGTCAAGCCAGGCAACCGAAAACTCACGAAAATGGAAAAACTGACCCAGGAAGCCGAACAACCTACTTCATTTGGCATTCACTATATTGGCTGGGCTTTTTTTGTTTGTAGCATACAGCATCGTAGCGTTTGCGGTAGATGCAAGCTTTCCGGAATCTCATGCGCAAGAGTCTAACCGTAACATTCTGAAAAAGTGGGAGAGTAAATTTATATTGGTCTGATAGTGAATAAAATTGTCTCTGTTACGATAGTTTAGTGATGGTACTTCGTCTACGCAGT